ATGCGACTCGGCTCGCTTTCTCTCCGCAACGCACAAAGTCGGCAGGCACGGGTTCAAAGATTTTCTTTTTCTCTTTTTTTCTTTTCTTTTCTTCCCTTCCCTTCCCTTCCCCTGGATCGCAGCCGTTTGACGTCGATTCGCCGTGGACGTCAGCTTATCCGAGAGCGAACCTTTGATAGAGAAGGAGGACAGTTCATTCGCGTTTCCTTCGAGAGGAATCGTCACGCGGCTTAGGATCCTCTGACAATGAGTCGATCGGATCCTCTGCCGTCGTTGGTTCCCTTTCCCGCATTCTTCTTACTCTTTTTCACTCTTTTTTTCACGCTCGTAGCATGTTCGCAGAGTTTTGTCGTTGTTTGATTTGCCTAAGCGCGTTCGAAGCTCTTCGAAGCAGATGGAGAGGTCTAGGCGAGTCTTTCAAGTTCAAATGTTCGTTCAAGGTATTCATTGTACTCAAGGTGTATTCTTGCTTCTTCTCTTCTTTCTCTCAAACGAGGACACGCTTGCTTTAATGCGAGTGTTGTAAGTAAGGGGATGAACAATTGTCACGACGATTCGTCACAGATGTATCCATGTTTTAAAGACGATTTCCACCGCACAATCTACGCCGTAACGTTTGCCTGTCATTATGAAAGCACGTTCTTTGCTCGCCGTTACGATTGCTTCGACAAATCAGGCCTCGACGAACGACGAGAGCAAGGCTTCCGCCGATTTGTACATTTGTTCAGATCTGATAAGAAAGAATGGGTAACGTGGGTGGTTTCGAAACAAACACTCGACGGTGTACGAAATGTTTCCGATGCTAGGTGTCAACGAAATTAGAATGGTTGAAACGATCTCGAGGATCAATGATCCAAATGTTTCTCGTATCGTTCGACGAACCCATTTTGCACGTTAATAAATTTCAAATTGGTTGGAACACGTGCGAACTTTGCCTGTCGATCTGTAGCGAATTATTTCTAATCTTAATGCCAACAGAGACGGCCCAACGTCGATGCGATTTTCCTTTTAATCAAATGTACGATTTAAATAAATA